CGTATATATATATATATATATATATATACACACACACCTTCGGTGTATAGGACGCAAGCAGATTTTGATATCAAGTTTTGGGGTAAAAAGAGTGCATCTTATACACCGAAAAATACGGTAGTTCTGATATATCATTGTACATGGTGGACTCATAACATCAACTAAGTATGTGAAAATGTAAAAAAAATTTATGTTGCACCTCAAAAAAATTCTAAAAGTCTAATTTTCACATTTTTATTTTTTCATTTGATATTTGTGATGGCCATATCTCAATTATTTATATTAACAAAAATAAAGAGCTTTCTGATTTCAGACAAGTACCTGATGATGAACTCAGATCAAGTCCAAAAGTTCTTCACTGTTGCAAATATGATTCACAAATGCATTGATAAAAGAACTCTCAAAGTGTGAACAATTCTACAGAAACACAAGGAAATGTAAAGACCACTTTGTCTAAAGTATTTAGTATGGTCACGACAGCCGATCCACAATCAAATTCAAAACTTCCAGAACGTTGGAAGGCCAACAATCATATGTTGGTTTTATGAGTGAAAGTGGAGCTCTAGAACAAGAAATAGAGGCCCCAATAGTGAGTATCTCCATGTCAGTTGATATAGAAACAACAGTGTTGTTGTTGAAATACATCAAAATAGGATATCCAGACAGTTGTAACAAAAGATGGTGACAGGTCCATTGAGTTGCCCAAATCACAAGGACATTGATGTGGAAAGATCACTTTGCAGGAAACCAAACACCTAAAGAACGAAAGCATTCAGAACTGCATCCGATCTTGCTAGAGAGGTGTCTGTGAACAAGTGGAAATCTAGGCAAGATGGAGGAATACAGGTGCTCAGAGTCTTTGGAAACATTTGAGAAACCACAACAGCAAGAAGAGATGGAGGTAGAGAAATGAAAGAAGACAATGGATTCCACTGATCTGCCAGAATCCACTAGAAGTGACATAAAAAAAGAAAGAACCTCATACAGAAAAATAAAAGGAGACATGAGAGCCTTGAAAACCAGAAGATCCATATCTCGGGACATAGTGGAGAACAGACAGCTGTGATCTCTGAATGAGAAAACCTGTGGGATCCAAGCATCTCCTGCAAAGTGAGCCCAAACATGAACAAAGTGTAAAAGTCCTTCCACAGGACCAAAACTGAAGAGTTGTTCCAGAAACAACTGATAACAGAGCTCCAAGATGGCTGGCCTTTTAAGAGAAAGAAGGTATCTCAATAAAGCAAATCCCAGAACCCAAGGGAATGAACTGAACAATAGGTGAAGAAGAAGAAAACACAGTAGTGTGAAGAACAAGTTAGTACAACCTTACCCCAATAAAGCTCGTGGGTTAACAATGCAGAGTCTAGGAAGAAAATAATAAATGGGATAGCAAGCTAAGAAGGTGAGTAAGCAAAAGATGAAGAAGAGTAAGCATACTAAGGGTAAAAGAATCAAATTATGAGAAAAAAATTCCCAAGCTGGGAGAAGAGATTTGAGGGACAGGCAGAAAAGAGGAAGAAGTCCAACAATAGACTACAGAAAAGGAATCTTAAGTTCAGAGAGGATGTGGCAACTTTAGAGTCAACATGAAGCACAGACTGAAAGAATCTGCAAATATGCAAGAAACAGGTGAGGGAGGTAGAAAGGAAAAACATCTTAAGAGTTGAGGTGCATGTAAGAAGCTCATCTGAGAATCATCAGAAAAGAACACCTCATGTACCAGAGCTTTCAGAGAAGCAATGGACAAAGGTAGGTGTTACCTGATCCTAGTCAGGGATAGAAGAACCAGAAGCAAAGGCAAGACATGGGAAAAGTTGGTCAAAGACAAGGCAGGATCAGTAGAAGGTACAGAATTAGGAGGCCTTGAGTTCTAGGTCCAAGATAAACCAACCACATGATGTAAAATGGTGATAACAATGCTCATTATCTAAGTAATTCCAATCACCACTGAAAAAAAATAAGACAATTCCTACCAAGGAAAGGTCTGGAACTCAGGAGTTACATAAATGTGGATATGAGAAGTTATATGCAAAAAAGGTTCATGAAAGTGAGTTCATGGTGGTTTTGTTTATATTTGTAAGTAGGTGTGGCACATCCATGGTAATTCAGCCTTGGTAATTTTGTATTAAATCCAAAACCAAATCAATGAGTTAATAATGGCTGAGAATAGTCCTGTCAAAGAAATCATATCATAGTTTCAGGAATCTGTGTTCTAAAATCTCACAATTTCAATAACAAAAAATATCAAATTAATGTAAGAAAACATAATAACTCATAGTACAAATTAACTAAAAGTTTAATTAATAAGCACAGAAAAAGCCATAATTTATGATAAAAAAATAACATCCAATTCCTACTCTAGTTCTGAGAAAAAATGAGCCTTTGGTATGTTCAAGGAAAGTACTGGTGGAAGGCTGTAACCTACTGCTAATTGTATCATAGAATGGTACAGTAAATGTTATGTGTAGAGGTGGGAGCTTCATTCAGACTTGGCACACGCAAAGAAACCTTTTTGCCAGTGGTGTAAGGTAATAGATCTCAGTTCTGTAGAGGTAAGTAGCACTTTTAAAAGATAAAATTCTTATGAGATAGTACAAACATGGCTGTGTTGCTATTAAAAAAAGAAAATTAATGACATAGTTACCAGATTCATATACATAAAAGACATCTTAAATTTTTTATAATACAATTTTCTGAATTCAAGTATGTTTTCGAGTCTTACTAACCCAAAGGTTTTCAGCATGTAGTTTTGCAGAAAGCCTTGCATGAAGTATGCATGCAGAATCCTCATCCAAAGGTATGATAGGAGTTTTACATTCCCCTTTCTCTCCCCCACAAGGCTTATATAATACCTGTTGGGGATCCACAATTATATCTTGTAATAATTGAGGAAGAACTAGAAAACGAAAATTTCATGCACAGCCACTAGAACTATAGCTGAGATTTATACTGAACTAGATCAGAACATTTATAAAATAGTTGTTCTAAAATACTAAATAATATGTACTTAATATTTCACTACATTGTGACTTAACAACTATGGAAAACACTATTATATAAACAATATTATTAAAATCAAGTGATTACTATTTTTATTGTAGTTATGACCACCATTTGGACCTGTTTCTGTAGCTTTATCTTAGTACAACACTACAGACATGTATGACAAGCATAGTACTACTCCCTTTCATATAAAATTTTGATAGAAATGAATGCAAACTTTCACCAAAGTAATAACAGTGGCTTCTAAATAAAACTGTGTTCAATATAAAATGTCAATGAGCTTAAAAGTAGTTAACTTGAACATGGAGTACTTATTCACATATACATAACTCAAATAAACATAATATCATAACATTCTTTTTAATTTACAGCTTGCATTATGTCTAAAAAAGCAAAGCATTTATTCTTTTTGCATGGAGATTTTTGATAAAGTTTGATAACTTTAAATCTAGTACACTCTATATTAATTTATATTTATTTCAATAAATCTCTGAGGAAACCTAATATATTGTCCTCTATCAGAACTTACACTAACTTAATTAAACCTAAGAGGAAACCTAATCCATTGTCCTTTATACAAACTTGTGTTTACTGCAATAAACATTTTGAAGAAACTTACTACACTGTCTTTCATCAGAATTTACAATGACTTAAATAAACATCAGAAAAAACCTAACACAATGCCCTGTATTAGAACTTATATTTACTTCAACAACCCCTCAGAAGAAACATAATCTAGTGTCCTATATTACCACTTTTATATACTCAATTTACCATGAAATTAAAGCTAATCTGATATAACACAACTTATATCAGTTTTAAAAGACTCAGAATAAACTTTACATGTACTTGGTGGAGTTTACACACTTACTTCCACAGACACTCAGATATAAGCCTAATCCATTGTCTTTTAACAGAGCTTATATTCACTCCAATGGAACTTCAGCATGAACCTAATTGACTTGAACAAACCCTCAAAGTAAACTTGTTCTGGTGTTATATATTGGAACTGATATGAGTATCAAACTTACATGGTATTTTATAATCATACTGTCTCCGCTGCTCCAGAAAAAAAAAAAAAAGAAGATTAAAATATTCTACACAAACAATGTCAAGCTAAACTCTATATATTGTTTCTCTTCTAAAACAAGACACAATCTTGAATAATTTTTTATAACTTTAGGTTTGATGGATACAATTCTGTTAAAATGAAACCCTCTTTAACAATAGTGATAAAAAAAAAGGATACGAGTAAGACAAAATTTGCTTGAAGGTAAAGCTGACTTAGTGCACCTCTGATCACCAGAGTTGTGAATACATTGAGGTACAACAGGAGCAGCATACTTGGTTCCATCCGCTATCTCCTTCCTCCTCTCTTTTGCTTGGTGTTTCAGAAGAGCTTCTCTACCGTACTGTCTGTGATACCTGTGAAGTGCCTTTAGCTTCTGATAGGTTTTCATCTCGGTTGGTGTTGGATGTGAACTACTGCTAATGCTTCCTGTCATATAACAGGGAACATATGCTATTTATTAAATTGAAATTGTTATGCATATGTACTTCAACAAGAAGACTTAACTTGCAATGCTAAATGAAGGTCTGTAACTGCACGTAAATTCAGTTACAAGTTAAATATGTAATTCAAGTGAACTACTGCTAATACTTTCTACAACACATGCTTTTTTTAAAGAATTTTATTCTCTGTATTCCCAAAATTCATTACTTAAACTTTACTTCCTACAAATTTGTTACTACAATCAGAGGTTAATTTTTAAGAAGCATTAGCATGATAATGCTTTTTTGCATTTCTTAATAATAGTGGTCCTTAAAATTCCAAGAATGGATTAAAAAAAAAAGAATCAAAAATCCCTTAATCAGTACAGTAAATACGATGATTTCATTCACTTTGATCACGTAGTACACTTAATTTCAAGATGATGTGCATGTGAATCCTATTTTTACATTACATCTTTAGTTACTTTTAATTTGAAAACAATAATTAAAGTATACATATGAAAAAAAAAAGTACTTTCCTAGGTCTTCTTATTTGTTGCTGTTGAGAACACTTATCCATACTTTTTTATACTATTGGTAGTACTACAGTAAATAATTTTTTATTTGATTAAACAATGCAACTATGCGACAATAGGCAAAACAAGTTAATCTAAGTTAGTCGAAGGTGAACAAACTTGTACTGAAAGCTACACTAACAATTCTCTGTACAGAAAATAATGTCATTTAATAGATGAAAACATTGGCTATCTTTTGGTTACAAATAACATAGTATTGAACATCAATTTCTGAAAAAGAGGATATAACAAGTGGGCATGGGAAGAGGGGACTGATTTTGTATTTTATTACACTGCAACCAAATAAGATTGAAGGCTACAAAAATTTATGCTTTGCCTGAGTCATGACAAAATTATAAAGAAACATTTACATTAAATTTGTTAGTTTTTGGAGGGGTGGTAAATAAATTAGAGAAGAGGTGATATTTAGAGAAAAAATGTCAGTTTCACACTAGGGGAAACTCAAGATTTTTTTTCAACTTTCTGGACATGGGCTCAGTCAATTTGACCAATCATGCAAACTCTTTGTACTTGTTTAAAGTTTTTATAGATTTATTACTTCTATCTTTCAATATAGTGTGTATATCTTCACAAAATTTGGCAGTCTTTCAGTTAATATTATAAGTCTTTCACATACAAAAAATAATATTTTTAGTGAAGTACTTTTAATAAACTAAAATTAATATTTGTCCATGAATATATTGAGTATTTGTTTTGAATAGTCCGTGTGCAAAGTGATTTTCATGTTAAGATTAAATATACTTTTCTTCATCTCAAAAATCTGAAATTTCATTTTTGTAATCTCTAAAAACCTCCTAAATACATTTCAAGTGTTTGTTTTCAGTAAAATTTATATTTTATCTGATATTTTCTGAATCCTAACTTTATACAAGGTTGGTCAATTTGACTGACCTTGTAACCCCCTCTAAAAAAAATCCAAATTATATTATTTTTTTCTTTCTAGAATGACTTCAAATGTAGCATGAAACTACATTTGTTTATCCTAAATAGCTTTAAACTCATAACAGTATACAGCTATTTATAATTAAATTTTATTGCCCTTTGAACTGTGTCTAACTACTATCCATGCCATTATAAGTTATAAATCACTAGGGGAACACGCAGCTTATGTTATGCTATCAAATTACATTACCCACAAGTTACTACGAGCTGCTCACATGCATGCCTCGTGAAACATTTTTATCATATTATCATTATTTATTTTACCTAATCTAACCTCAACTAACCTAAAAGGATCCTTATTTTTACATTTTAGTTACTTTTATAATTATAAATAAAGAATAAACATGAGAAACAAGAAATAAAGTATTTACCCAATCTTCTCTTTTCTTGCAGTCAACTGTCAGTGACAGTTAACCCTACTTTTTTTATACTAATGGTAGGAATGCACAAAATAATTTTTATTTAATTGAATAATGCACCAAAGAACATAGAATAATAACATGCAAAAAGTAGACAATTTCCCCTAACTCTCTAAATGTTTCTGGCTTTCTAACTATGCAACAAGAACCGTTATGAGTAAGTCATCCAAGCTAGTCGTTAACCTCTCCACGGGAATGAATTGTGAGTTATGGAAGAATGGGAAGTTATTTTGGATGTCAGCTGCAAAATAACACCAAATTCAGCTTAACGTTTATGTATGGATATCATTATTACAAAACGATTTGTTAAAGGTCTTGTAAATGATTTTTTAAAAATTAGGTTTGCAGCACAAAATAAACAGTTCCTGAACAGTCACAATATAAATCCGTGTTAGAATTTCGTTTTTTTAGCTCCTTTTGTTTTTTGTTCTGAGTAAAGAAATTTCCTCTACTTGGTAATTTAGGGACAGAAATTTATAGCTGTCCTATTTATTAAAATGAAAGACTGTACAATGGGGAATAAAATAATACTATTGATATCTGTAGATTTCTACTAGTATCTCAAGTGACCCAACAATCAGTCTTACAAATTCTAAAAAGAGGTTTTACATAGTCACACATATATATAAAACAAAAAGTGATTATTTAAAAGCCATGTGTATGGTGTATAGCCATTTTCATATATATATCTGTCATAATGTTAACAAACTGAAATCCACTAAGTAACAAACTTACATATGTAATTAGATGTTATACTTAAGATGTTTCCTGTTTGTAATTAGAACTTAAACTTACCACCCACACCTTTAAGTAGTATTAAAGATTTTTTAATGCATGACACTAAAGTGTGATGAGCCCTAATTGACAATACTACCATTAGATATTTAACTTTCACTTCAAGCATAGAGTTAGTGATACATCAACCTACCTATCTTTTAATTTTTGGGCAATTTGGACCCCTACAACAAATTTCTCAGAATGTATATAAAGAAGATAACTCTATCTTGAGTGCCAGAAGTGCTAAGCCTTGACAGTTAATATTGGTGCCTACTTTGAATTCATGACTGCATTTCTTGCCATAGTTATTGTTAGCTAATTTCCCAAACTAAAATGACTATACCAGTTTACAAGGTATCACACAAAAGAAAGGGCTCAAAATGTACAGATTTTCTACATAAAGCAAAGACTGCCATAATGGGCTGGCAAATGTTAGTCATTCATTTACTACATGACAAAGGTATGGCTATAAAATTAATCATGTGCTACTTCCATAAAACTTCAAATATTTTAGTTTTTATTTAAAGTTCACAGAAAGTGGGGACATAACAAGAAAATGTCTTTAATTTGGTCAGCCTTTTATCTTTATTAATTTCAACTTCAAGAAGTACCTGGGCAACTTAGAAACAGGAGTGAGGAAGGCAACTGGAAAGAGGTTTGAATAACTGTCTGAGCACATATAAAATCTTTATTACTGAAGAATAAGTTGTAAGTTTTGTTCAAAAGTTACCTGTATATATATATACTACATATGTATAAGTAGCTTTTACTTTGCAAAATTCAAATTTAATAGAAAATATTACAAAATAAAAAGGAAATGTAGCACTGCATGAATAATTGTTGTAGACACTTTTAAATACTTTTATTTATCTTAGTTATTTTTACTTGCTTTTAACAATGACAATGATTACAAATTTCAATTTTTAACTGTAAAAAAAACAATATGCAACTACAAATGGCTAACAATGTACATTTAACATTAATGATCACAGAAAAAATTCAAAACAGATTCATGTTTTTTTTTTAATTTTCATTGATAAAAGCCACCTGAATTGAGTATTTCTTTTTAAAGGACTTGTGAATCTTTTTTGCAGAAATGTAATGTCTTGGTATATTATAATATGCTGTCAGAAATTATTTTCTAAATTGTGAAAACCATCAACATTTTGCCATGCTTCAAATAAGCATATTTTCAGGAAACACTTGGGCTAGTTTTAGGGGTTCATCATGGGAGTCAAATACATAAGCCAGCAGTCACAACAGCCATTCATTTTAGAGGGGGGAGAAGTAGTGATCATATCAAGAATTTAGTGGCAAAATGATATATTGAGTGGCTTATGGGTGCAGTAACAGAAACAAGAGTTAAGGGATTAGTTTCTTTTATTTTCCATCAAATCCTTTAAGAAGAGAGATGTGGACACAAAACTAAATGGGCTAAAGTCACTCCAACCAAATACAGCAGGGTATGTTCAGACCACTTGAATATGACTGCTATAAAAAACATATGGACAATCTGGCTAGAATTAGTTACCAAGAATAATACAATAAATTAAAACCAGATTTCATAGCAACAATATTTTGTAGTAGGGGTATATGAAAATATAAAGACACAAGAACAAATGGAGATTAAAACAAAAAAAACATCAGTGTGGTCAGCAATGACAGTTTGCCGATGGAGTACCAGACCTCAGAGAAAAAGAAAACATTGAGAGTCCTTGATTTTTTGTCTTTATTAACAAAAGTATAATTATATCTGTTAAATAAAAACATAAAAAAAATTTGGTGAAATGCTTGGTGAATTTGAATGATTTTGTACCACCATGTAACCATGAAATTATATACAAGTCTGAATGTACTAAGTGTATCTTCATAAAATTTGGCAAGCTCTTAGTAAAATTTACAAATATGTTGTACAATAAAAATTATATTTTAATGTAGCATTTTTACTAAAGATTGTTCTGTGAGTTTATGAAGCTGTTACTAAGTCAGTCTGAATGAAAGGTGATTTTTCATCTTACAGATGTCATCTACTATTTGCATAAATTCTTGAACCTCTTAAATGAATATCAATTTTTTTTTGGTAAAATTTTATCTCTTATTTTCTCTACCCTAACTCTAACTCTAGGGAAATCGTCAATTTACACAGTAAATGACAAAACAGAAAAATATCAAATTCAAAAATACCTTTTTTTTTCCCTTCACTGACTGCAGATTGTAATAAACAAGTACTAATATTTATCCTAACAGCTGCAGACATCTTAACCTTTACACAACTGCTTTTATTTAATTTTACTGTTTTTTGAACCATGTCTAACTAGTGTAACAAAGAAAGAAATCACCCAGGTGGGAGTTTAATGTAAACAATCAGGTACATCACATAATGGTAGCCCTCATGTTCTTTGGAAAGAAATCATGAGAATTATTTTTTTAATTCTTTTCATGCAAGTTCTGTCTCATGTAACAAGTTTCTAATTTTTACATTTTAGTTACCTTTGTTAAAATTATATATAAAAACCAGAAATTAAGCACTTACTTTTAGCCTTGAGAGTTTTTACACTTGGGTAAATGATTTTAAAGTAAGCATATTTTTTCTCACTATGCTGGTTGTCCAAAAATAACTTAGTTTTCAAATATGCATTTTAGAAAAGATACAATATATCAAGTGAGCCAAACGTGAACAAAGTGTAAGAGCCAACCTTCCACAGAACCAAAACTGATGTTTTTCCAGAAACAACTGATCACAGAGCTCCAAGATGGCTGGCCTTTTAAGAGAGAGAAAACCAGGATAAAGAACTCCCCACAGGTATGCATAAAGTTCTCCTAGATAAGATAGTGATTATAACTCTAGAAAAGAAGGTATCTCAATAAAGCAAATCCTGAAACCCAAGGGAATGAACTGGACAATAGGTGAAGAAGAAAACACAGAATAGAATATACCAAACAACTATAATTTATCTGATTTTCTAATTAACCCATAAATAGGTTTAAAAAAAAAACATTACTACTCACAGCAATGTCATCAGTCTACATTTATCAAATACTTCTTGTGAACTATTTGCATTAATCATTAGAACAAAATAGAAAATTGTCTGAATTTTGTAGTTAAAATATGATATTTCTATTGATTATAACAATGTCAAATAGCAATGTCAGAGAGAACTATAGATATTTCTTAAAGACAGAGAATGTGAAATGGGCATGTTGTGGGTTGGACAAATTTAGTGATATTTTAGTAATACAAAAAAGGTTGAAACTTGATATTCTAGTTGTCAATACATATATTTCCTTTTGAAATTAAGAAATTAAAAATGAAATAATATAAAATTAGAATTATAAACTATGTTTGATTTCAAGTTCATTAACATACATTGAAGATAAAGTAGTTTAACTGAACTTTGAATGTAACTCTGTAAATAGGTTATGACAGTCACTTTGACCCTCCCATGCACATAGGGTTAATTACCGTATTTTTCGGTGAATAAGACACACTTTTTTAGCCCAAATTTTGATGACAAAATCTGCTTGCGCCCTATACACCAAAGGTATGAATAATATATATGTGTACACAAGCC